CCAGAAAAAACGGGCGGGACACTAACAACCAACTCCAACACACTGGACATGATGCACAACAACAACAACAACAACAACAACAACAACAACAACACAGTCCCAAGACACAGAGCGAATCTTTTCATACACAACAACAACAAAAAAAAAAACCCAACGACGACAAACACGTCTTTGGGAACGTTAGCATAAAGGAAAGCTTTTGACTAGAATATTGTAATTAAGATAATTTTTTCTTTCTCCTTTAAAACAAAAAAAACATTTCTCATTTTATGGCGACTCTCTGTGTATGTAAGCATTAAGTGTATTATTTGAAAAGGCTGGGAAAAGGAAAAAAAAGAAAAGAAAACAACGACAGGAGAGAAACAAACCACGTGTCGTCTGTCGACGAAGCTGTTTTTAGTCACTGACTTCTTTAACTGTAGCAGTCGGTTATTTGTAAAGACAAAAAAAAAAGTGGAAATAATTGAAGATAATTAATCTTTATCAATCTACACTTTCATTTTATTTTTCCTTTTTATTTCGTCCTAGCATGTCTAATGTTGATCTTTAAAGGTGTATTGCATTAATTTATCTTTTCTCTGATGTTTAAAGACACAAATTGCCTTTGTAGTTTTTGGTGACGCTTTTTGTTCTTCCTATTAACGCTGGGTACAAACGTTCCCTTCAGGTTATAAGGTTCCGTTGTTCCTTCCTCACGTTTGTTTTTTTTTTGTCGTCTAACCTAAGCTTTTTAATTTTATCTCACATATTTCTCTTTTTCTTTTTCATCTCCTTTTTCTAGTGTTTAATTTTACATCAGGAAACATCTTTAGAAGATGAAGAAAAACGCAGGCCAGGACTGAGGAGGAAGAAGAAAAAAAAGAAAAAGAAAAATCACAAACTTGCGCTTTAGTTTAATTTCTTGCTGCACTCTTGTTTATTTCTATTTAAATGTACGTTTCCCTTTTTTTTCTCACGTTGCACATGAACTGCTTTCACTTTCCCCTGCTTCTGTGCAGCTTGGCCTGTGTGTCGTGTTTCCGGCCGAAGATTCTACGTCACCGCTCGTGGCCACAGCGCGTCCTCGGAGTCGTTCTAAAAAAACAAATCTTCTCCTAGAATCTGACGCGTTTCTTTTCATCTGAACTCATCTTAACGCAGCACTCGATGAAAACCAGGTGGGCTCCATGGACCACCGTGCCAACGACTGGGCCTTGTCCAAATCCATAACAACCTTCTAACCATAGACAACAACCCATTGACAAGATTTACCCAACTTGGCCACCAGGGTCCCTTCAAACATCACACCACATCTACTGTACATGGCTTAAAAACTGGAACAAAATACTGTAACTTTGGAGACTGCAATGACAGCACTGGTTAGAGGTGAGGCGCTGTGACAAGGCCTGTCCTCGTCCCCTCTTACCTGAGGGACACAACTGACCCACAAACACCACTGCTGCTCTTACATTAGCTACACTACAGCTACACCGCCCCCTCCATCACTAACTCTACAGGCAGCTGTTTCCTGAGGACTGGACTGACATCACAGTCAGACAGACTTGTGGTCCCTCACAAAGAGACCAAGTCTCTTTTCCCCACGGGCCAAGAAACAAGTCCATGTCCCTTGAAACTCACACACAAACAGGCCGTGGCTGAAGGTGAAGCACACGTGGTTTCTGTTCAGGTAGAAACACCAGAACTCCAGCCTGTCTCCAGACGACTGCTTCTCTTAGGGAGACGTCGGAGTCGTCAGAGCTGAGGAGAATACTCCCGGTCTAGAAACTCCAGATCTAGAAACTCCCGATCCAGCCGTCGGGTGATTTGTAACGGCCGTATTTTTTACATCGTCGAATCAATCGGTACTAAGGTCACGCCCCCGCAGTTAGTCGACGTTAGCTGGCGTTTTCTGCCCTGCCGCGTTCGTGTGACGTTGTTTTCTTTGGGCTGTACGTTAATGTGAAGTAGACACAGTGGAAGTGCTGTCCCAACATCACCATCAACGCAGCTGTCCCTCCCCTTACCCCTCCACTTCCTCTGTCTCCCTATGTCTTTGTCCACGCCGTCCCCCGTCCCTCCTCATAGGACCTAAGGTACTGAACTTTTTCTGTAAAAATCCAAAGACTCACAGTATTTCTACTCCCTCTTTTCATGACTTCCTTCATGGCCACATCATTCTCTCCCCTCTTTGTCTCTCTCTGTCTTTTTGTCTCTCTGTCCCTCTTAGAGGTTCTGGTCTCTGAGTCCAGTTGCTTAATCGTACATGAAAAGACATATAAATATATATAAATGTATATTCACAAATGTTTTAAACCTTCAAAGTGCCTACCATTTGGAAATGTACTTGCTCAAGGTGAGCACGTGGCGGTGTCTACACACACACACACACAAACACACACACAGAAGAAGAAGAAAAAGAAGGGGTGGAACCGACTGGACTGGCGTTCTGTGAGCATGGATGACTGTAATGGTAACGATTTTTTTTAGTCTTACAAAAGCTGACAGTATTGTACCTATAAGTTGAAACAACACTACTGAATAAACATTGTGGCCTAATAATCAACCGGGTCCATGTGTTGTTTCATTTGTTTCCATTTTCAAAGTCTTTAAGGACTTTAAGTTCAATATTCATTTTTTTTTTTTTTACGACCAATCAAGTAGAAGTAGTTTTCATTTGTGTGCTGCTCATAACGAAAACCGCCACTGAGAATCGTTAAATAAGTTGTGCTCATAACGAAAACCGCCACTGAGAACCGTTAAATAAGTTGATAATAATATTCAAATTAAGATGAATAAAATTAAACTTTTTCGCATAGTTAAAGCCGACTGAACAGAAAGCGAACAGAGCTTTACGCCATTTGTTACGCCAATAATTTGAAACGAAAAAGTGACTAATTTGAGCTGTAAACGCCTCATCATCCACCGCGACGTTAACCCGACATTAGCGACATTTGGTTTGTTCCTACCTTGATTCTTCAACAGTCGTCAGAAGTGTCTCCAGATGTCAGGCGTGTGACGTGTCAGACTTGACAGGTCGGCACTTCAGGTATGTGACATCACACCGTGTTCATCTAAAAAAACATAAAAAACAAAATGTTAAATGACCAACTTTCACAACGTGCTGCAGCAGCTGCTGTTACTGGTACCAGGTCGATGCCGCGTGCTGCAGCAGCTGCTGTTACTGGTATCAGGTCGATGCCGATACCAGTAACAGCATCAATACCAATACATTCTCAAAGCATGTCTGACTGACTGTCTCTGTCCATTGTCTTCCAGATATTTCTCCAGCTTTTCCTGCATGATGTTCTAAGAGTTTGTGAGTTTGTCTTTCCAGTCCTCTTTGACACCTCATCGTCTTTCTGTCCTGTTACATCGTTCACACTGAAGGCTATCAAACCTCATTAATCATTTTCAAGGTAAGTTCTTTCAAAACTATAATGTCTTAACTAACTTAATTATTTTAATTCTTATGTCAATCAATTTCATCATGCTTCAGTTGTGCTGTGGAGTAGTCTTTAATTAACCAAATGGTTCAAATCCCCCGCCGGGTCACCTTCAAATAAATTAACTCACTGCATCATTATTTCACGCTTCCCTCAAAAACTCTTTAAGATGGAAAACAACCAGATTTCATTTATTTCTTAGGGAAAAGCAGTAGTAAAATAGATCTGGCCTAACCAGAACTGCCATCAACTCACTGCTTTGTCCCAGCGCCACAACATTTAGACGTGATTTAGCTCCTGAGTATTTTTCTGCACTAAACCCTCTGATCCCAGGAAGCACTCAGCGCCGCTCACGACGGCAAATCACGAGGGAGGTTCTGAGATTGGTTTGCTGAAAAAAAAAGTGGCGAAATACTGATCTGGTACGGGTCGCCGCTGTCGCCCTCTTTGACCAATCAGACCTTAAACAGACTCAAAAAGCAATAGGAAAAGAAAAGTCGGAAAATAATCAGCCTGCGATGGAGATGAGGTTTTCGCCCAGGGGTAAATATCCTGACTTTATAGACAGCCGTGAAGAGAATTAACTTTTTAAGTGGCTTTTTGTCCCTGTGAAATACGTCCTGGGGGCAGACTGAATCAATCGACCGCTCCTTCTAACCACCAGGACTGATGTCTTGTTCAAAAACCATTTGGACCAATCAGAGAAAGCGGAGAGAGACGTCCACTTCTGTTATTTGTTGAATCTGTGGGGCAGGCACGTCAGCTGTAAATCACATCATACACCGCACTGTTTTCCTGGTATAAACAGACTCATTAGCAGCTGACGGTGATGTGAGCAGACTGCTAACGTCCAGGGCTATTTTCAAATAAGCGCGACCTGACAGCTCTCCACGGTAATCTGCTCTAAATTAGAAGGAATTCAATTTTTCCTGCCAAGATCCTCCGCTGGGATCAAACAGTCTCATAAAAGCATTTCCATGTCATCGACTCTGGGCTGTTTTGACATTTGACTCAAAAAACTAAACTGATAAATGTTTTTAAACACAAAGCTGCCAGTCTGGGACAGATGGCCATAAAAATAAAGATGAATTATAACTATTAAAAAAAAAAAAAAAAACAAACCCAAACTGAGTTTTACAACTGCCCTAAATTATAAAGCATGAAATGTTACAATGTTTATTAAAGAAAAATGCCATAAAAGTTACTTTAAAAACAACAAGCGAAAGATTTCTCAACTTGTTGCAAAAAGTTTTGGATAAAAGTTAACTGTACATTAGCACAGCAGTCTTGTAATAAGTCAAAATTTTAGCAGGAATAGCTAAATAAGCTAGTTAGCTGAATAGTTAAATAAATAGCCATAAGTAACTAAAAGTTAGACTATGGTTTGTTAAAACGTACGCCAAATCAGATAAGATTTTACTAATATAACTAGTCACTCCTGAAAACCGAGCTAATGTGATGCTAGCAACGTACAACATTAAGCTAGAAGCTACAAACTAGTTTAAATACAACTGTAACTTTATGGACTGTTCCAGGGCACGTTCGACCCTGAGGCCACACTTTGGACATCAGCTGGTGTTTATTAACCAACCGTGGGCATCGACCACTGACCTACTGAGGCTGTTTGCTGTGTCCTTGTCCTCTCTTCTGTTTGGTCCAGGATGTCCCTCTTGGTCCTGGTCCAGCCCCGCCTCGGTCTTCACCCATGAGCTCTTACGAGTCCTGACAGCGTGTTTACGTTGGACGCCGGTTCTGTAGAATTTCTGCGTGGTTTGGCGCTGAGCGGCGGTCGACAGCCGACGGCTTCATTTTATCAGGTCTGCAGCCACAGAGGGAGAAAAGAATGCGAAACACTGAGACAAAGGAGAAGAGTGGAAGATAAACACAGCAAATATATAAAATGCTCCCAAATCCTTTGGGTCATACATTTATCCAAGTGTGGTTTACATTTGCATTTTTCTCTGCACACAAGAGCACAAACAGCCCATAAATCCTGGCTGCACTCTGAGTCAAAGTGCAGATTAAAAGAACAAACACATGAGCGCACACAAACGGTTTGGAAATGTTTGTTACTACATCAGTCTGAATGGAGAGCTCCCCTCCTCCTCCTCCTCTTCCTCCTCATTGGCTGCCTGGCTCCACCACCCCCTCGATGCCTCCCATCCTGGTGGTGGGATGCCTTGTACAAACTGCCTCTGAGCAAATATTAGAGCACACTGACCTGACCTGGTTCCTCAGAAAGAGGAGTCTTTACTTAAAAAAAAAACAAAAAAAAAAAACATGTCTGCTTCCTCCTCTTAATCCTCAGAGATCTAACCCCCCCACTCCTCCCCTCTCTCCTCTCTCTCTCTCTCCTCCCTCAGGGTGACACCATCCTGACAGTACAGGCCTATTTGGATTCTGCACTGATGCGTGCTCATGCAGTCCCTCTTAAGTCTTCAAAAAAGGAAAACGTCGCAAGATGATACGCACGCAGCGCGAGCGCCGCAGACCACGCGGCGCCAGCCGCAGCCGCCCATATGTAAATGAGACACCGTGTCACATCACGACCCAGCCCGGATCCAACGTCAGAAAAAGAAAGTCGGTGGAATCGCTGTGAGTGACACTGAGGAACTTCAGATCTTGATTCTTCTTTATCATTTTCGTCCGTCTGTGGTGACGTCTGGTTCAAAGGGTGTGCAAAAAAATAAATAAATAAAAAAGACATTCATTTTTAGAATTAAAAAAGAAGTCAAACTCTGTTAAAAACGAATTCTAGAAAAAGCCAAAGCCAAGTCAAATCCTTCAAAACACTCACTGAAAAAACAGCCCCAAACCATTACAGAGCCTCTCCTATGCATTTTTAGCTTAGTACGTATCTATCCACGTTCATTCCTATTTTTTTTTTTAAACATATGTGACAACAACACCCCCCCCTTGAACCCATTTTTTAAACATATGTGACAACAACACCCCCTTCAACCCATTCAGACCAAATCTGTTACAGCTGCTTCAAACTGCGGCTGAATGATCTCACAGACCAAAATACAATTCCTGAATTAAACGCAATATCGTGGCAGGAATCGTAGCTGTTCTAGTGGTTTACTGAAGTATTACAGTTGTTACAGTTATTTGAGAACTGATCTGAGGAGTTTGTCGGCGAGTCGTAGGAAGCAGAAAGCACAGAGACTCCTTTTAATATCTTCACTTAAGTTAAAAAACCAAAGGTAACTGAACCTCATGCTGCCTCCTAATTACTCGGCTCCTCGACTAAACGTGCTCTGATAATGAAAACCAAACAACCGCCTCCGTTTACTCCTGATAGGATTTAGAAAATCATTTTCCTCCGTTTCGGTAGCTCCGCTCTCTGAACATTAGTCATTAATCTGCTCCTCATCTTCCACAGGTTTCATCTGAAACACGATATTATTACCACCCTCGCCGTCCTCAACGCCGGTCCAGGTCCTCAGAGGGAAGAGTGGAGGTCGGTTTGTTTCTGATTACGCTGCGGCGTTTATGTACTAATTACATCTGAAGCTGCAGGGAGGAAAACTTCTGTGGATTTGGTGCTGGAAGCTCATGGGAACGCTGGGTTTTCTTTTGCTGCGGCTGGAAGTAGTGGGATGGTTTGAATTATGGGATTTTTTTTTTCTCGTCTCCATCTGCCATCGTTCACCTCTCTCTGGTATATTTTAGGGGTGAAATATGTCCAGCGTAGTGAAAAGTGAAGCGGCTGCGTCAATCAGACCGGCAGGAAAGGCAGAGTTCAGGTGTTGAAAGTTGCATGAATAACTTGTGTCATAAATCCCAGAGACCAGATATTTCAATTTGCAGTCAAGTCACAGCGCGCTGCACTCATCTCCCTCTTTAGTCTTTAATATATTTTTATGGTATATGCCACGACAGAGGGAGGCCACGTCTTCCAGCTGCTGAACTCTCACAGACCTTGTGTTTCCCACAGACCTGGATCTGCACCAGCGCCTTTGTCTTCTCCCACTGACGGCAGCGCTGTGACGATGATGACAGCCTTGGATCCACCCATAAATCATCGCAGAGGAAGAGGACGCGTGTTTGAACCGTCTGATCTGATGCAGATAATATGAGGCCGACATACAGAGAGTGTGTGACAGCTGGACTCCTGGGGAGTCCCTCACCTTTAGCCGCTGCTCAAAGATGAAGGTAGAAAAGAGAGCACATGAATCCTGGATCGCCCTGGTGGTGATGACGATGATGACGTTCACACAAAGTCTTTTCACATTTCAAAAGTCTCCTGACAGGTTAACATGGAACTCCAAACTGTGGAACAAGGACAAAAGAGACCATTCTCTGTTATTGGTGTGACTCTAAGTTTCACTTTTCTTGAAATGCTTTACAATTCTTTAACTTTAAGCTTCATTGTCCATCTTTGAACTATCTATTACAGTAAAAAAAAAACAAAAAAACATTGTTCTGACTCCTGACATGCTCATATGTAAAAATTTGTTAGAAATTAAATAGCCATACAATACTATAGTAAGGCTATTGATTTCTAACACAAAATATTGTCATATGACCATGTTTTGGGGCATTTTAAGGCATTTTAGGATTTTCTTTTATTTATTTTTCACGATGGTAAGG